TAATAATAATAACAATGAATGGATGAACCAGAATCAATATCCGAAGTTCCCTCTTACAGCTGACTCAACTCAACAACGACAACAACAACAACCAGTCCACCATAGCTATGGCTTCCCTCCTTCAACCTTCTCTCTCATGCATAGGCTATGGCGGACTACTCCAAGCAGCTAGGGTGCTGCGCTGATGTCCGAAGGACAACCTAAGCAGCTATGGTGCTGCGCTGATGTCCAAAGGACAACGCAGACCAGCTATGCCGCTGCTGACTTGGTCCGCTATGCCTGACTCTGCCTCGAGCTTCCCTGGTGCCGCACTACCCCAAYTGGGGCCTTCCAGATGCAGCGCCCAACAAGGTGATGAAGATGGTGTCTTCCATAGCCAGGTAAGTGCCCCGCCACTCTCCTACCATGCCCCCTTSTTCCTCCTCCTCAAGCTGGAGTGCTCGCCATAGCTAGGCTGAGCTCCARCGGCCCTTCACCTCCGAGCAGYGCTGTACCAGACCAGCRCTGCGCTCCAGCAGCATGTCGCCAATCCTTGCACACCGCAAATGAGGAAGAGCTCTTTGCTCTTCCTGAAGATATAGMGGCCTACCGGCCTCCTGGGCGGTGACTTCCTAGGCCTAGCGGYCTCCCAGCAACCGGTACCTCCTCCCTTTCGGAGGGAAACATCATTGCAGGCTCTGCTATCCTCCGCACAGGCCCTAGACCCGGGCTACTTGGACTGGTACCGGCSTASCTCTAACCTACYGCTACTGGGCCTCTAAAAATGCCAACTTTTTGTCTTCTTSTGCTCGGCCTCCAGTACCCGACACTTCTACCACTACTTCAGTGGTACCGGCCTACCTGCTACTTGAGTGTTTTTCCCCTCTGCTCTARGTGYCGCGGGCCTACCCCCGCTACTYGAGTGTTTTCCCCCTGCAACCCTTCACAGTCACGRCCACAGGTAAGTACCGGCCCTGCGGGGCCTTGCAACCAACAAGTACCCTTGCGGGTCACACACACACTCAACCGTCAAGCACTCAGACARGCATGCAAACCAGCWGGCACGCACACACACAAAGAYATGGAAATCAYAGCAGAATGCGGGAATTTCAACAAGGCATTCATTCCAGCGGCAAATCCCAGAAATCAGCAGTGTTCTCAGTCTGTGTTTTTGGCGGGTCATTACATTACCCCCCTCTCAAGAGCGAGGTCCCTTCGAGCGAGGAACTCAATCAGAGTTGGCACAGAATGCATCGTAGGAGTAGATCAGAAGGAGAGACTTTGTAAGTCCGTGAGGAGTCATTTGTGCAACGAATTTACCAGCCTGTCCCTCAGCGATCTGTAGTTCATAAGCGTTCACAACACGGGGAGCACTCTTTAGCAGCTCTTTTCGGTCGATCCAGAAAAATTCAGTCAACGGGTGATAGAGGAAGTGAACCTTGTACTGTTCAGTCTATCTCATGGCCGCGTCGATAGGGCGAGGTATCATAGGGCCTCGTAATGGAAACGTCTCATCATCAATATGTGGAAACAGTTTGGACGCATGTACGTGCGCACCTTCGAAGGAAACTGAAGGAGGATCTGGTCGAACACACCGCCAAGGATCCGGACCAAGACAAGCATGCTGCGCTCAAGGCTAGGCTGAAGCTTGAGGCCCTCAAGGATCAAACATGGAGGTCCTCCATGCAAGCTTTGGAACAACACTTGACTGGTTTGTTCACCACTCCAGATCTGGGAATGACTGACGTGTCTAGTATGGATGTAGTCATGGGAGTGGCCCCCAAAGAATATCTCTCCCTGTTGGCACTCAAAGACCCTGAATGGTCACCTGGTCTGATGCCCGACATGCCTGGCTACAATGCCAAGTACGCACGCTTGCTCAAAGTTGTTATTGCAGCCATGAACAAGTGCCAGCATGGCATGATCAAACATGCTAACAAGCTGCGCAAAGCAGAGAAATTCAAAGTAGGGGATTATGTTTGGGTTAAAATGTCTGAGTTTTCTAATGAAGAGGGCATATCACACAAACTCCTTCCATTGTACTATGGCCCCTAGCAAATTCTGAAGGTGATTGGGGATTATTTTGGTCCTTCCCACAAGGCAAGTCAAGAATTCAGGATAGCGAGACAGCGCATCAACAACCCGGTTATAACAACCTTTCTTGTATTTCAATTCAAAGCTGTAGACATCAATGTCATGCAACCAGCGGGTCAATGTAGGAGAGAGTTCAGATTGTGTCTGAATCCACTGCAAGGTCTGATGATCTGAGTAGACCTTGAAGTGGCGACCCAAGAGGTAGTGCTTCCAATGTGCAAGAGCCTCGCGCAGGGCGTAGAGCTCACACATATATGTGGAAGTAGCTACCTTGTGGTTGGGCATGCGTTTGCTGTAGTACTCAAGCGGACGCAGGCCATCACCATCATCTTGTTGCAGCACAGCACCAATCCCGAACTGACTCGCATCCGTAGTGACTACGAACGTGAGGTTGGGATCGGCAATGCGAAGCACAAGGTGACTCACCAATGCCTCTTTCAAGGCTTGGAACGCAGTCTCACACTTCTCACACCATGCATAGGCAACATTCTTGCTGGCTAGTCTTAAGAGAGGGTGAGCAATGACATAGAATTTGGGCACAAACTTCCGGTAATACGAGGCCAGACCAAGAAAAGAACGCAGTTCGCGTACGTTTGCCAGTTGAGGCCAGTTTCGGATGACCTCAACCTTGGTTGCCTTCGGCTCAAGGCTGTTTGCAGACAACCGGTGTCCAAGATAGATGACGCTATCCCTCCCAAACTCATATTTCTCTAAGTTGAGGTGCAGCTGCGCCTCCTTGAGGACCTGCAAAACTTCCTCAAGGTGCTTGAGGTGCTTTTCCATGGTTTTGTTAAAGATCAGGATATCGTCAAGGTACACAACCACAAACCTGTTGAGTTGATGGCGAAGTACCTTGTCCATGAGGCACTGAAAGGTGGCCGGCGCATTCGTAAGACTGAAGGGCATAACGATGAACTCGTACAGCCCATCGCGTGTTTTGAATGCAGTCTTGTGCTGGTCACTCGGATCAACTTCAATCTGGTGGTAACCAGATTTGAGGTCGATTTTGGAGAAGACCTTGCACCCACCTGCCGCATCCAGCAGATCATCTATGCGAGGCAAAGGGTAAGCATTCTTTCTTGTGATCCGATTAAGGCCACGATAGTCGATACACATCCAGAGTTTGCCTCCTTTCTTTGGCACAAACAGGACAGGTGCACCGAACTCAGACTCACTGGGCCTAATCCATCCACGGTCAATCATATCATCAATCTGCCTTCTCAATTCTTCCAACTCGCCTTGTCCCATACGGTAGACGCAGCCTTTTGGAGGAACATTCCCCTCTATTATCTCGATTTTACGCTCAGGAACTCCACGAGGTTCGACCAAAACTTCAGCGAATCGATCTAATAGCTGGCGAATGTTTGTTGGAACTTCCGGTGGAGGATCATCCTCATCAGGAGAAAAAAAATTAGACTGAGAATTTACAGCAATGACAACCGGATTAGAAGTAGAAGGATTATTCACAGTAGAAGTAGATGGATTAGAAGCAGAGGTGGTAGAAGTAGAGTTACTTACCAAGGTAGAAAACGCAGCAAAAGTAGAAGGCACATGGTTAGGCTTTACAAAAGCTACATGTACATGCTCAATCTCCTTGCGCCTGCGCACTAATTTGCAGAATTTGGTTGCACTTAGAAGAGTCACAGGGGACTCGCGCGTCTCATCCAATAGGTCGGTACGCTCGTTCCCCTTGGCATCACGCACCACGAACTGGTTGTCCGCCCACGTGGTCCTTAGGCAATGAGCCTTTAACCAACCCAAGCCAATGACCGCGTCGAACGGACACTTGTCCATGACATAGAAGTTGAGCTCATGTGTGACTGTGCGGTCTTTGTCAAAGGTGACGCGCACACCTTTGACAGCATGTGTAGAGGTGACAACCTCTTGGTTGCCCACCTGGGTCTGACAAGGGTTCTGCAGTTCCACTTGCTTCATTCCCAGGCCCGCCTTACGAATCCCGTCAGGAGAAAAGAAGTTAGTGGTTGAACCACTATCAATCAGCACGCGGATGTATCGGCGGTTAATGAGCAGTTTAAAGAAGGTTAGTTCCACACTCCCTTGAACACGGCGTTGCTGCTTGAGCTGCAGCCAGTGTTCCGTGTGAGCGTGGAAGTCAACTTCCTTAGACTCCTCCCAAGGCTCAGTGTAAAGCACATGAATTGCAGCAGCCTTGGAATCAGCGTCGTTCCGGGCTTCAAGAGTGGGTTGTTGATCAGATTCAGGCTCATTAGAGGGGCCTGCAACTGATGTTCTAGCTTCCCTTGTTGTAGGGAGTGCTGGTGACTCCTCTACGCCCTTTGCTTGTTTCCCTGCAGTCTATAACAGTCCTGCACAGCATGCCCAAGCTTTTGACAGTGCAGGCATATGCGCAGTTTAGATCTTCTTTCCCATTCCTTTTGACTGATACGGAGGGCTTCCCAAGGCTTGGTTGATGCATCCTCCGGTTTCTCTGGGATCTTCGCTTTCTTTGGGAGGTGGAGAACAGTTCCCTTACCTGAACCATGGTTAGGCCCCTTGTTTGAAGCAGTCTTTCTAAAAGCATTCAGTTTTTCATCTTCGTTGACGTCGGACTCAATGGCTGATGTGGAACAGCCCATATCGGAGTCCGGCTCTAGATCGTCATCTAGAGACAGATCATCCGCATATGACTGATCGTCAGCCTCCCGATGATCATGCGGTGCAAGCTGGTTGCTGCTTCCAAACCGCTTGCGTTGTGGTTTCCCACCTGCAGCGGGCGCCTTCTTCCGCCTGGCGAGGTCCTTGGCTTCTAGGTTGACTAGATCTGTCATGAGCTCTCGCCAGGTGCTGTGGTCTTTGAGTGCCAACAGGGAGAGATTTTCTTTGGGGGCCACTCCCATGACTACATCCATACTAGACACGTCAGTCATTCCCAGATCTTGAGTGGTGAACAAACCAGTCAAGTGTTGTTCCAAAGCTTGCATGGAGGACCTTCATGTTTGACCCTTGAGGGCCTCAAGCTTCAGCCTAGCCTTGAGCGCAGCATGCTTGTCTTGGTACCGTGCGAGGAGAAGGTCCTCAAGGGCGCGTACAGGGGTTACCTTCAGCCAATCTGTCAGGTCAATTCGTTTATAACCTGCAGCAACAGCTTGGAGCTCAATGTAGTTCCGTGCGGTGGGCTCGGTATTAGTCCCCATGATCATACTTCGGTCCTCTTGCGGTGTCCGCATAACCTCGAAGTATGACCTCATGAAGCTAATCCAAGAGGTAATGTCTGCTTTCCCGACGTACTTGGACGGCAGCGTGGCCGCCCTCTTGTCCACCATGGGACCGCTGTACTGTTGGGCTGATGTCCCTGCATTGGGGACTGTGACCAGCGCAGAACTGTCGGCGCTGCCGCTCGAGGAGCTGGCTCCGGTTCCTACACTTGCCACAGTTCCATTGGCACTTGGCACGAGGACTGTGTTGGACTGAGAGACTGGGATTACAGCAGATCGAGGGTTAGGAGGGCGGGGGGCAGATAGTTGAGACTGTTTGAGGCTGGTTATCTCAGCCTGCAGCTCTTGGTTCCGCTGCTCCAGCGCTGTTACACGGGACTCAAGGTTTTCCAAGGTCCGCAGTCGAACCAAGGCTGCTACGACAGCAGCTAGTCCCTCCTGGAACCGGTCAGCATTGGCTTCCGGGATCCAAAGGAGAGCCACCTGATCAGCAATGTTGGCAGCTCTGGTTGCTGCCTCTGCCTCCCTTTCCCTCTGCACGGCGTCATCATAAAGCCTCTGGAAGAATGGTCTCTCGCTCTCATCTGCTGCATCCAGCATGGCCTGCCATTGGGMARATGTGATATTAGCCATGCCGGAGGAAGGGGTGTCAGTAGGTCTYTCAAGAGGGGTCCGCTCTCTCCTTACGTTTGGACGAACACTCCTCTTGCCCCTCCTCACACTCTCAAACAGAACACCCTCTCTCTCCCTTTCTTCTCTTCTCGCTGTCTGCGCACGTGTCTCGATACCGGACATAGATAGTTCAGATGAAAGAAACAATCAGAAAGTTCACACAGAGAAGAAGGTAGAACTCCTAGCCGGAGCGGCAATTCATTTGGACTCAGAGAGCAGCACGCAACAGAAAAGAATAAATAAATAAATAAATAAATAATAAAAATAAAAATAAAAACGGAAGAGAGGACTGACT